GGAGGGGCGGCTCGAACGTCCCACGTTTAAACTCGCCTCCGTGGGAAGGGGCCGCTCGTGTAGGAAGCGCCGCGAACGCCAGGGGGCGCTGTGGCTCAACGTTCCGGTTTCTTTGCCCTTTCGCGTCCGTGACGGGAGCTCGGGAAACTCCGAACAGAAACGTCGGGCAAGGTCAGGGTTTACTCAGTAGTTGAGCCGCAACAAAACCCTGTTGCATATGCGGCCTAGACCTTTGCCCTGTATTTATACACAGATGATGTTCCGTCTCCAACCTAAGGATATTTTGATTATACAAATATTCATGGGCCCTTATGGGGCACAGCAGCCAGTGGTATCAGGCTCTGACAGCATCCCAGTGTCACGCCAAGCCCTCCACAGGCATGACCCAGAGTCTTCAAACCCTCCCATGAGAATAAAATCCAACCGCTCTCTGCATCCTGTTAAGTTCCCTCCCCAACTCCATTCCCCACTCAAACCAGGCCACCACAGCCGCTCCAGCAACACTGGCTGGTCCTGCCACAGGGCCTTGGCACCTGTTGTTCTTGCCTGCAAGGCTCTTCCTCCAAATTTTCGCATCCCTCCCTCCTTCCCATCTTAGTTCCAATGTCACCACCTTCAAGAGGCCTCTTGTACTTCCTCAGGGGCATGTTTTCTTTGGGGCTCTCTTCCCATCCTGGGGAATGGTCCCCATTCTGGATTTGACTTGTTGCTTCCTTGTGACCTCCTCCTATAGCTTGTTCCTTAGAATTTCCCCCACCCCAACCGATGAAGGGGTGTCCTTTAGTCCCCACCAACTCTCCACATAAAGATGTTAGCAGCCATCGATTCTGGCCGCCTGGACCCATTATTTCTTGATGATTTCCAAACTTGCGTTCCTTCTGCCGGAGTTAACTGAAGTCCTTCTCAAAGGAACTGCACCTCAGCAACTAGTGGGTTTGTACGGAAAGTAAAACCTGATACGTTTTCTTACTATTCGAGATCCCCAGGAGGCAACTGGACACATGAGCTCATCAGGGAGGCCTGGGGTGGGGACAGACCTCAGGGTCTCCAGTGGTCACGGTATAAGCCTATAATAATAATATAATAATATAGATTATAATAATATATTCTTGACATAATAATGTTATGATTATTTAACACTCAAATGGGGGCAGCCCTAGGCTGGGCAGTGGTTCCCAGTGTGCTGAGGAGGAGGCCCACAGTGAGAAGCAAGGTCTACTCAGGCTAGTGTCCGTGCTTTGGGCGGCCTGAAGGGCTTCTGGGATGGAGTGAGCACCGTGCTCTTGAGGTCGGGAACGCATTCCAGGGCGGGAGTGCCTGCCTGTGCCATCTATGCAGGGGCTTCTTCTAGAATAACATCTTAACCAAGTAACAGGAGGGAAAGGGCTGTGATCTTGAACTGCTCCAAAATGTGAGGGTCCTGGGCCCGAGGGAGCTGCCAGATGGGCCAGGTGGTGGGATGTGGAAACCTGGGAGAGACCTGGGGGGAAAGGAGCCGAAAAAGACCTGCTGGAAGTCTGCAGGGTAAGGGGCTTCGTGGCCTCGGGGCAGGGAAAGCAAGTGACTGTGACTTAATGAGCCGAGGTAAGCTCTTGGAAGTGAGACAAGTGAACAGAGGGGAAGCCAGTGTGCCAGGGGCACCCAGACATCCAGGAAGCAGGGCAAACTTCCTGTTTTTTGGTCTTGTAAAGTTGCTTAAAACACAAGTTAACCAACGGCTACTGCCAAGGACATTGTGAAAAGGTGTCTGGGGTGAGGAAAGTGCCCTGGTAGTGGGAAGGTTCCACCCCAGTGGGGCCAGAGATGGGGTGCCTGGAGGCTGGAGCATTGGGGGTACAGAACAGGAAGGGAAAGTCCTGGCTGGAGTGACCACAGTTCCCTTTTGAGACCACTAAGAGTCTCAATTCCTGTTGGTGGCTGGGGAAATTTTGGAAAAACAATGATGAAAAAAGGCAACATTTATGAAGCATTTACTAGGTGCCATGCTCCATCTGTATAGTCTAAACAGATTCACATAAAGTGCTAAGGAAATAAGACAGAGAAAGACAAATCCTGTGTGACCTCACTTATATGTGGAATCTATTTTCCCCTCCAGCTTTATTGAGATACAGATGACATGTAACATCGTTTCAGTTTAAGGTGTGCAGCGTGGAGATTTGATACATGTACATATTGCAAAAGTATCACCACAATAAGGCTAGTTAGCACATCCATCCCCTCACATAGTTACATTTTTTTATGCGTGGTGAGAACTTTTAAAATCTACTCTTACCAACTTTTAAACACACAATACGTCATTGTTAACTGCAGTCACCATGCTGTACGTTAGATCCCCAGAAATTATTCATTTTATAACTGCAAGTTTGTACCGTTTGACCCCCTTCACTCATTCCCGCACCACTCAGCCCCGGGCAACCACCAATCTGTTCTCTGTTTCTATGAGTTTGTTTTCTTTTTTAATATTTATATGTGGAATCTGAAAAAACTGAACTCATAGAAACAGAGCAGATTGGTGGTTACCAGGGGCTGGGGAGAAATGGGGAGACATTGTCAAGGCGTACAAATTTCCAGTTATGAGATGAGTAAGTCCTGGGGACCTAACGTGCAGCATGGTGGGTGATTAGAGTTAACAACACTGTATTGTGTACTTGAAAGTTGCTGGGAGAGCAGAACTTAAATGTTCTCATTACAAAAAGGAACTAACTGGTAATTATATGAGGTGCTGAAGGTGTTAACTAACCTTATGTGGTAATCCTTTCACAAGGATGTGTATCACAGCAACACACTGTACACCTTAAACTTACACAATGTTATATGTCAATTCTATCTCGACAAAG